GCTGCACCCAAAGTTTAAAACCAACTTCCTGGCAGTAGCAGTAGCATTTCTAGTCAGGCAGTTGCTTAGGGAGTCACCTGACTTCATTGCTTATAACTTACCTGACTCCTTCTAAACTCTTCATTCCACAAGTCTTAATGACCCTCTCCTCTTTTAATGGTCTTAATGTTTCACCAATCAAGTTACCCTTTGTTCTGCAAATATGATGTCTGTTATCTGCTCCTGGTAACAAAGCTCCTATTTCACAGCCCTTCAGACTGGTTTTAACTCATTCTGATGAAATTTATCTTTGTTTTTGGTTCAATATTAAACTGAATAATACAGCCCTAGGCCCCTAACATATTAGAAACCTTCTAGTTTATTTTTAACTTGAGAAAAATATATGTTGTATTATATGTGATGATGAACCTCACCACCTGCACCCCTCCTTTTCATAGTTCTAGATTTGCCCATGGCATTGAAGTAGCACCTTTTGTTTAGAGTGCCAATGGACAGTATAGAATTCATTAAGGAGAAATATCTCCCCTTATATTGCTCCATCCTTCCAAATGACCCAGCTTGGATGCGAGAGTGGTACCACTGTTGCTTTTGGTGGGAGGAGTAGGCTTTTGTGTTTGAGGGTGATGTGCAGACAATTGTTTGTCTTCAATCAAGAAGTGAAAGAATGGAAAACCTAAACTGTCAGGAAATGGAAAACTTAAACCATCATAGAAGGCCTAACAACATTTGAATAGAGGTTTAACTAGTAAAGCCAATAGCTTCATGTGATTTCAAATCATAGGACGTCCATAATGTTTAAATTCTAACCCTGGAGCCATCTAGCAAGCGATCTCTAAGTGAGTCTAAAAATACACTAATAGGTTCAAATAATAGACTGCTTCTATTGTTTAATTTCTAATACTTGAAAACATCAGACAAAAGGCCTGGAAATCTGAATATGATGAAAAATCTTGATTAGGTTGAAACAAAGTTTAGATATGAGTGTAGTTACTTCTTAGTGGGTGTGTCTACACATGTGCTTTAATGTGCATTAGCCTATTTTATTGCACATTAAAGAATCACAAAAATGTGCTTTTAGCTAGTGCACAGTACAGTAGGGAAATGCAGAGGTTTTTAGTACCTCACAATGGAGTGTGCTTGTAGATGTGATGGAAGACTGTTCCGACGCTCTATAATTAAAGTGCATCAGAGCACACTCAATTAATCAAGTCTGCTGGAATGCGCTAATTAGCGCACTTCAGCCAGTTTCTATGTCATGCTTCAAAATGGCAGGCAGGGGCACTTTAACTAAAGCTCATTTGACAAGCTTTAGTTAAAGTGCCCCCACTGCCATTTTGAAGCACAGGGATGCTGATACATGAGATGTTCTGGGCACTTTTAATTAGAGTGGTTCTTAGAGATGCTCTAATTAAAGCATCCCCTTTTACCCCCAGAGCATGTCACGTAGGGTTGCCAACTCTCCAGGTTTACCCTGGAGTCTCCAGGAATTAGATATAAACTTCTAGGAGACTACTGAGAATCACCCAGGAGATAAATGAAAGGGCATTCATTAAAGTAAATATTAAAATTTGAATCCAATTTATACAGTAGTCCAGTGGGATTTTGCCTTACTGATGTAAAGTCTGTGCACCGTAATCTGCAACTAATACATGTAAGCACGTGGGCACATTCATGTTCTGTGTCAGACGCACAGCATTCCGGAAACCTCCTAGAATAGATTCAAACAGAGTTGGCAACCCTAAGCAGGTGTAAAAACACCCAGAGGTGCTAGATTCAATGTGCATTACTTAAAATGCATTAATGAATGTGTAGACATGCCCACTGTCTTGCACATGTAACCTCTATTATTTTTAGAGAAAGAGAAAAAATAAAATAGATGGTGGCAAAGTTTTTAAAATGCATTAGTGAAAGATACAATGTTGGAAGTATTTGATTCTAGACTGAAGTAAGTATTAGAAAATGTCTTATTTGGAACTATCTTGCACTAGCAAAGTATTGACTAGACCAGTGGTTCTCAACCTTTCTTGTACTGTGTCATGGGGTGGGGTCCCTAGGGATGGCTGTGATGCTCCTAGGGCCCTGTGACCTTGCCAGCTTCACCATATAGGTGCCTTCTATTCTCTCCTGCCATGTCTTGATGGTTAAGATAATAGATGGTAGATAGGGAGGCTGTCCTCCAGGTGCTATGCAGTCATGGTCCTGGTGGACCCCACTAAACTGTGTTGGTTCTTAGACCCCTTGCTAAGTCCCCCTCTAAGTGCTTTGCGGGACACCCCAAGCCTTATGGGATAGATGCATAACTCCAAAACCACCCCTTTATCATGCCCTGCCTCACAGATGGTATGTAGACATTGTCTCCCATGATGAGGCCTCAATTTAGTTTGGCCTCAGTAACTGCGCCCTCTGGTGCTGGGGTCTCTTCACTCCCTGTTGCTGCACTCTCTGGTCCTGGGGTCTGCTTAACCCCTGTTGCTGCATTCTCAGGTGCTGGGGTCTGCTTAACCCCTGTTGCTGCATTCTCTGGAGCCAGGGCTCTGCACCGTAGTGTGCTGCAATGAGGCCTCCTCCTCCCCAATAGCCTCAGTCTGGCCCACCAGATTAAAAGCAACAACATCAATATGAGCCCATGGGCTATAACAGAACAGCAACCATAACCCTAGATACTTTAGTCTCACCACCAGCAGCACAGGCACCCACGTATCTCCATGGAGCTTTTTTTCATGAACTCCATTTCCCCTGACAGTTTCCAGGGCCCTAACTGCTTTCAGTCCCAGCCCTGGGGCTTATATGTGCCCAGGGTCCTGCCTTCTTCTGATCAGCTGACTGGGTGCAGGTGCAGACTAATTCGGGGTGCGGGTGCAGCCTATTCCCCTCATTAGCCTCCTGCCACAATAACCTGCACCTGTGGGGATTCTGCCTGGCTCCTAGGGCCCTCTCTCTATGTGGTTTCTGCCTATAAAGGAGCAGGCACCTTAGTGCCCTGTGACATACTGGGACCCATTTGTAAGGGTCAGTGGCCAATCCCAAGCCACAGCCCCCTGGCCCTGCCAGTGCCCCTCACTCTCAACCTATAGTCCTCTGCCTCCCTCAGTCATGCTGTTGCCCCTCACTCCCAACCCACAACCCCCTGCCCACCCCAGCCCTGCCAGTGGGGGCCCCCAGCTGTTTCCATTCTGCTCGGGCCAGAATGCAGTGGCTATGGCTCTGCTACAGCCTGTATGAGCTGGAGCCACAAG